TATATGTGTATGTGTGTGTAGATAATGGTCTAGCTTCGAATTTGGGTATAAACACACTCCGTTTTGTGGTCGGTGCCTGGCGTCTGATGGAATGCTTAACGGCGATACTAGTCGTAAAACTCAAAGCCTGGAGGGCTTTATATATATACATATCTAGAGAGAGAGGTTAACATTCTAAAGGAGGTTCGATTACACTTTCTGCCCAAAATCAGCACCATAAGCTTTCCTTTTTGTTAAACACAATTGTTATTCATTGAACCATAATTATGTCAGCTCATAAAATATAGTGAGCGCCTTAGAGGTGAGGTGAGGCGAGACACTCACTTTTAACCCTGAATACGGCGGGGCAAAACGCGTTATATGGTGCAATACTCCCCTAGGCTGCAATATGATATTTTGGCAAACAGTCGGCCTCGAAACAATAGGCTCAGTCCTTCGACAGAAATCGATGAGAAAACGGCACCCTGTGTCGGTTCGATTCCTATGAGCAGTACTTCGTCTGCATCTGCCACCTGTTTGCGGTGACAATATTTGCACAAAGTTGATTAATTACCTTTCCTTACGAGGACAATATATATTAGATGTTCTCCTGCGACGTTACAACATTACCTCATTTTCCCAAATACTCCACTAAAGAATTTCGAATATCGATCATTCCACAGGTACACTTTTTAAAAGTTATTCTTTATTGGCAGTTAACTATCGGTAGCCTTAGGGCATAACTCCTTTGCGTTTTTCATGCGGTGATAGAAAAAGTGAACGGAACACAGAGCTGCTTTCTAGAAAAACACTCACAGCAAAAAAATTTGCCCAAATGTTTACGTTGCATATGTACATAACATATGGAACTAATACAGCCTCTTGGGTTATTTTTTCTCAGACAAGTCCTCTATTTCCTATGTAAGTGACGTGCCGTCACGGTGTTCCACACAATTAAATTACTATTTTGTTTCTGAAAGATTGTAAATAAATCGATCATCGCCAAACTATCTTGCCCCGTAGTAGCCACTCGTAATACGTACTGCCATTTCTTCTGGCCAACGTACGCTATTGCCGTAAATCTGACTTATTTCTTTTATACCTCAAGGAGAATTTTCAGCTTTCCAGTGCCCTAGCTTTACACCGATATCGATTGACGGTATTTTTCTTACCTAAGAAAAGCACTGCACATTGTCATTTTTCCACTTGCCCCCACTAACGATAACTATAACGTCGGAGAGGAGTGCATCTATGATCCTAAATAGAGAAGTAGCCAAGATTGGGTCGGTTCCGCCACACCAGACGATCAACTTAATAGTACGTTATGATCAGCAGCCACAGCATGCTCGTTTCCCTATCTCTCCATATAAGACGCCCGCGAGTTATAGTACATGTTGGTGTGTGTAGGTCCTTAAAGATGGTAGGCTCTTGATTGCTCTCGCTTATAGTATCGAAATTGGGACGAAATCTTCAGCAACAGCTGTCGACCCAGTCGCACCATCTTTCATTAGTCACTAAAACTAAACCAAGCTAGGGCATAGGCGGTGTAGCTTTTGCTACAGCTGTTTGAGCTAATGTTGACGATGACCATTTCCATAATGCCACAGTTATCACGAACGGGCTTCGGGCGTACGCTTTGGCTGCTGGCCAGTCTGCCAACCTATACGGGAAGTGGTTATCTCGCGCCTCTTGACTACGAAAGTCCGACGGCAATGCCTTGTCCTTCCAAAGTGTAGACGCATATATAAAGAACAAGTGGAGTAGAAAGATCAAGGGAAAATGAATAACTAACACGCAAGTGGGAACTAGGTAATTCAGGAGAAGAGATAAAAGAGGCAAACTTTGACAACGAACACATTATTACCAATACCATTCCAAACCCCAGCTAGCATTACCCATCGCAGAAGCAGCAGTAATTAAAATAATAGCAGCCATGGTTGAATTGAATAGGTTCTGTTTTTATAGATTTTCCAGCGTGGTAGATATTATTCAATAAATCAGGTTATATGCGTCTGTTAAAAAACCTTAAAGATAAGCATTCCCTAAAGGAAGGAACAGATGGTGTGTCCTTATTTCTTCAAACTGCCAATATATTACTTGCTTGATATTGTAGGCAGTACTACATTCGTGTGGCAAGCGTAACCTGTATAACTTGTCTTTAAGTTTTTTTTTTAATCTTAAATTATCATGGCAATATCATTATAGCAATGATCGCGCAAACATAGATTAACTATTTATATAAGCTCAGTTACATATAAGTGTACTCTTCGTCTAAAGAACTTTCGTTCTGTTCTATAACACAGCATTTGAATCATGAACGTATTATCAAAAACAACTTGAATGGTACCTACTACTAGGACTAGAATCAAATTTTGCATTGTCACTATATAATTATCCGTCGCTACTTAAACTATGGTTATTCTTGAACATCAGGGACATTTAAGATGAAGTATATATGCCTTTGTTAGTTTTGTAACGGCAAAAAAAAAGTGCTAAATACATAACTAATAATATAAGGCCAGGTAAGGCTATGTGGGCCACAATTTGCTTAACGCTACCGTTGAAAACAACCGATGATATGAAAGTGGAGAAATTGTATTAAGGAATTGGCCAAAAACTCTTCCATTATTAGGCCCAAGCGGGGTCACTAAAGTTCATGAGAAATATCAGTTGAAGATCTGTATGAGCCAGATGTGACTTTGTACAAAGGGATCAATCAATCATCTAACAAAGCTAGAGGAAAAGGCTTCTCTTCGTAGAGGAGCCCGTTAAACATGATAGGCTGTAGTCATCTACTGCCAGGTTTTGTCTATGCTAGATCTAGATAAAATTGAACGGTGAGGAGCCGTGTTATAGATAGAACAAGCAATGGCACACGCACAAGCTGCCTTTGATCCCCTAAACTGAAGCAGATCAGTAATAATGTACGTATCGTTCTCAAAGACCAATTTAACCACACTAAAACCTATATAAACGCCATAGTTACAGAATGAAATATTGATAAAATTCCAAGGTATTCAAGTGTGTTCAAGTTAAACGTACATGCTTATAAAGGGACATACGTTTAACTTGACGACAGTGCAAAGTTCGTCAAAAGAAGCAGTCAGATCTTATCAATAAAAATGTCGCAAAGGGATAGTTTGGATTATTTTCAGGTCATGCTGTTAGTGGGGTCCTTTATTAAAGCCTGTTTTAGACTTATGGAATAGGCTCTACGATGAAATGTTTGCTGACAGAAATACTGAGAGCATATTCGGCACGTGGTTGTCGTAACTGCCATAGACCCTATGGTGTCTTTAATGATTCTTGCTTCGTAGAAATAAGGTAATCATTGTTTTATAGGTTCTTTAGTAATGAACAGCTCCTGATATTTGTATGCATTCGATCATTCGGAACTGTCTCTGTTGAATGTTCTCTATGTGACCGATTTGACCTGGTATTTTAGATAGAGATATCGTGCTTGCTACACAGACGGGACGTTAGCTCAAAATGTGGAAACAACAACTACAATAGTAGACTCTACTTCCTGTTCAGACAATTTTACTGAGCTTGTCCTGGCATCGTGACCCATTCGAAGTAGATTTTCTATTTTGTGCCTTCATTAATACACGTTTTACTCGACAGCTAAATTGTTGTAACGCCAAAAAGTACATTTTATTAAATCATAAAGTTAGATCATCATGAGAGACCCGGAATATCAAATAGCCAAACCTGTTTTTGTGGAACCTGGGCTTGTCTCGAGCTTCCTTTGATTCTGTTCTCAAACCGAAAGAAAATATAGGCTCAGATTGTGTTCAATAACCCGATATCCACGCAGAGATAAATTAGCTATGATTATGATAATTGTACAACTTTATTTATAATCTTAAGACGACTACCATTTGTGATTGATCCATTGTTACAAAATCCTTTATTTCGTCACGCGTGTAGCATAGCATTTATTAATCGTAAGCAATTCAACAGCCAGGCTATACTTTACCGCTAGGGGAGTTAATAAAAATAGTAACAGGGCCAGCTTCTTGTTGCAACATGCTCGCGTGGGTAAGGTGTATTTTCTCGATATACGGGTATATTATGCCAGCGCTGAACCGTGCGCAAAGTTATACGTATATATGCTCTTCGTCCAGATATAGATCTTTTATCTCAATTGCATTTCATCCTGTATTATTTCCCGACCCAAAAACACTCCTTTGGCGATCTGTATTCATCTGAATTTTCCGAAATGTCTTCTGATCCGCATATATCGCAAGTAAAACTTTGTGACTCAAGTTGAATAAGTCTCTCGAATACTTCGTATACTACTACCGTCAAGCGTCGCTTTCGACCAACTTATCTCTGAAAATAGGTCTTTCGTGTTTTTTGTCCTCTGTTAAAGTTTTTACGCATTATTTCAGAAAGTCCGGACATGAAATAAAGTAAGTATATGCCCCGATTCGAGCCTTCACCACCATGTGTCCTTGAGCCTGACAATCACACATGGTACTCTCATCTTTTCACGGTGACGTATTACAATTTGTAGTTTGCGTGTCGTATGCTATTGATTTGACAGTGCCAACACTAACATGTCTGAAATATGTATAGATAAAAAAACTACTCCTTAAGGAGACCAGTTCGTTCGCTTATAATATCCTTAATTGCCTACCTAATTAAGGTTAACTGAACAAATGAACCAGAAGGTTTACCCTTGCAGGGAGGATGAAATTAGAACAGTATATTGTTTTTTAGTACACTATGTCTAATTGAACATTGCATTTATAAGCTTCTACATTATATTGTTCTACCTTGTACCCGTTTCCTAGTCATAAGCAAGACAGGTTCCTAACGATCAATTAGACAATGTAGCGGATCACCTGGTGGAGATTCAATGTAAGGTCATCCATTCTATTACTTTCCGGTAACAAATTTCAATTACGAGATTCAAGTTCAGCTTAGTAATGCATTTATGCGGGCTTATCCGTATCCGAATTGTGTTGTATACGTATTTATACCGTTGCTGCAGTAGGTTGAATGATGGCCGTCAATAAACACCGTTTGTCGTAACCACTGGCCCAGCTTCGAGGTATCATGCATGGAGGTCACAGATGCGACGTTTTTATTTATTTTTTTTTACACGCGCTTCAATTAATAACTTTTTGCGTTCATGTCTTGGATTCGAAAACACCATCGTGCAAAAGTGGGCTTTATGAGTTTTGTGTGAAAAGGTATTTCGCTCATTTAAAAACTCTATCAAATTTCGTTGAATCAGTCTTGGATCAGCTTGGAAACGCTTTAAATGTATGCTATTAACCAGGACAGGCGTAATCTTGAAACACACGAATAACGTACCCAAGTTCCATGGGGGAGATCTGTCTAAACGGTTCAGCCGTTCCAAATTGTTAGTATATCAAATTGTTTGCTGAACGATAAGAAGATAAAATAGATGTCGGCGTTGCAATCAATAACTCTAGTGGCTCGTGCAAAGCTCTCGTGCATAATTGCTATCGAGAAGTATCCGAGACTGACACGAATATCTATACAGGTATTTGTGCTCGATAGTAGGAAAGATAGTTAACCTTGCCTGTTCGTCATGGTATCATGCATTCTTGCTGGAAGATGAAGACTCTAATTTTTACCTTGCTTGATGAAGTCTTATCCTACTTCGACCCTGCATGGCAATGTCGTATAGAACGATACTGCGCCTCTTCATGGGAGTTTTTCGCTGCGCTTTATGCAGCTAATCCATATAGAGATATTTCTCGACTATTCCGTTATTTCATCTTCTAGTGTATAACACACTGTTAGTATCATCAAATGATCGTTTTTTTTTTTTTTTTTTTTTTTAAATTACGGTCTGACTGATAGCAACGGATTTGGAGGGAAAAGGGAGCGGGTTTTTGACTAATATATAGAGGTAAACAAAGAATGGTGAAGGGAAACAAAAAAACGCCATGACATTTTTTACCGACATAGAATAAACATCAATTATTGCAGTTTCGAACGTATGGGACTGCCGCCATATTCCAAAAGCAATAGATAATAAACACTCAAAGTAGAAGTTACAAGCTTTTAATATTCGTTTATCTTTACATTATACACTCTCGCGATGTTGTGTGGCCGTAAAAAATGCAAGCGACTCATGTTTTGTAAATTGTATATAGTTCATTCTCATTGAACAATAGTCGCTGAGCTCAATCAATATGTATCACTGCTACGACAGAGAATGAATGTTGCATTTATGGAAGTGTTCATTTTGGCGTTCGAGAAATGACAGGAGATCTTTGACTACCTTCCTACTATCCTTCCTGAAATTTTCAAGAGAGCCAAAGCTCTCTTGAAAATTTCAGGATATCTAACAGCCGGAGGGTGTAATAGGGTGAGTATAGTGGAAGCATGAAAGATTTCAATTACATTGTATAATAATGCTTTCTACTCAAAGACAAATCAAGGACAAGTGCGTAGTTCCATTTTACTGCGTTAGCTGTGCAACGTAAAGTTACCCCGTAGGGTCATCTCTACTCAGAAACGTACCGCGAACGACACTTTGTACTGAAGAGGAACGCACTCAAAATGAGCAAAAAAGTTTATAAACTTTTTTCAATGAGTGCAAACAAATTTTACCCAAAATGAGGATGATCATCCCAAGCAAAATGTCCATGTGGGATTAAGATCCACTGTACAAAATTGGACATTGAACCATAAGTTCACTATGTCTATCGACAACAGCTGTGTCCTTAGTTGCGGCATGAATTTCGCTGTCTCTAAGTTTCAAGTTGAAAAACGACAGTTTTGAAATAATTTTTCGAGTAAGTTATTGGCAATGCATGAAGCCTAACAAACGGCAAATAACGCTACTTTTTTAATTGGTAATGGCAAAATTTTAACAGGCGACAACTTCTTACGCTACCTATGGTTTTCGAAATTTTGAATCCAACCCATTCGAAAAACTTACGCAATATACAAACTTATCTATAAACTAAATAAGAATCATAAACGATCCCATATATACATGGTCAACACAGAGCCTCTTTGTCACTAATGACAAGGAAGAAACAAATATATCGAACGACCTCTCAAATACCTATTCCAGTAAATCTTCAATTTCATTAGCGAAGTTCTATCTGACCCAGACGAGTGACTCTTCTCCGAGCATCTGTACGCATATAAATATTGTTTCATCATTCAGTGGCATTATTATCGCTTATTGCAGAAATCTATTATGAAGCATACGTTGAACTCACCAATTGAACGTCTGTATTTATTTTGAATATCATTTTCTCAGACGAGTTAACTTGTGATCCCTCCAAGTGTGCGCTGACATGGCAACCATGAACAGATCGCCATCAGCGGTCGAAATTTCAGCGTTGGCTAGTCGTTGCCATGCGGTTTCATAGACCTGCTGGAAAAAAACCCACATATATACAAAGAAAAACTTACTTTGGCTTCGTCTAATGAGGGCAGGTCCTCGATACTATACCTAAGAGGTCACTTCGAGGTTTTGTTTACACAGTGAAACAAAGACAAGTAGCAGGCAATCTCGTCCTCATTCTTCATAACACTGAATTTTAATAAAGTAAAGCTAATATGAGAGAAGTAGGTGTGCCAACGATAGAAAAGTTAGGCTACCATCGAATAACCGATACTCACTCGAATCCAGTTTCGAATGAAAATTGCTCGTAGAGCTATTGCTGGAACAGTTAGCTTAGGTATCACAATTTCTTGCTGTTTTAAGGACGCTGTCTACAATAGCGTTACAAGCGTCCTATTAGTTTGTGAAGAACAGCAAGTCTGATTGCAATTTTTTGTATTCCTTCCCCTAATCTCGTCGATTACTCGACGGGACCAGTCGTTCGATAAGCAGCTGCTTTTATTCAGGCAAAGTAAGTACTGCAGTAATCACAAGTGGATTCTAGTTCAAATATAGAAATATTGACAGCGACGTAAAGAAGAACTAAAGCGTTAGCCCTTACGTTGTTAGAGAGACAGAAGTAGTTGAGTGAGAAAACACAGGAATAAAAATTGTACGAAACCGTTACGGTCACAGTCTTTAGTAATAAAGACTGTGACCGTAACGGTTTCGTACTCCTATTATATATATATATATATATATAGTATACTCCTAGTAATAGGAGTATAGAAGGCGCGGCGCTGTGTTCTGAACGGTCGAATTATTGGCTGAAAAAACTAAGGTATGTTCGTTCAGGTTTCGCGTTATAAAACTTCCTAGAGGTGTGCGAAAATAGCCAAAGTTACATGCAGGCCAATGGTTTCTGAGTCTTCTGAATATATGCGTATGATCTCATTTTTATGTAGGCCATTTATTGTACGTGCACGGTAATCATCTTGCGGAGATCGCTGAAAGTGATACTGCGATCTTGGGAAGACGTGCTTCGTCGCTAAGCAGGCATTAAATGATTGCACGATACGGAAAGGAGCTAATAAAAGAGGTAAAATACCCGTTTCAGGTTCCGAAAAGCAATTTCCTAATACATTTCAGCAGTCGCGCACGGTTCACCGTAAGTTTTTGTTTGAGATAAATCTTTTAGTTGCTTCCACAGTTTTTAGATGACGGATGTAGCTCTAGCGTTCAAGCCGTCGCTGTTTCTTCCTGAGTACTATCGTCTTCTCACTGCCCGGCTTAGACACTTGTTGACACTACCTAAATATGAAAACATTCGTACCATTAAGCAATGACTGCGATTTTGAATAAGATTCTGTCTACATGAGCACAAAATTATGGTTTTCTAATAAGTTTATTTAGTTATCTAAATCACTTACAGGTTTTATCGGATATACAGGTCATGTGGCGTTGGCGTATATCAACATAACAGTAAGCTGTATTAGTCCTAGGCTCAGTCAAAGAACTTTGAGTTAACCGCGTCGTTGTAGAAGATAGTTGAACTTCGGTGGTTACACCTAAAATTTGCTTTTTTCAAGAAGCTTATAGTAGCATAGATAAAAAGGCAAGTATCGCACAAACGAGAATCAACAACAGAAGTGTTAGTAATTATAGAGTCGCATAAGCTATCAACATTACCTCATATCATCCTTCGCAGTTCATAAAGGTAAATTAGCCGTACTGCAATGATGTGATTGTACCGCAGACTAAAACGAATGGGAACTATTTTTTGCCCCAGAAGAAAATTTAATCCGACATGAGTATAAAATCAGGCGTACTTGTATTCGAGGTCATCAAATAAGCCCAGTTTCTAATTATTTTAAACTACGACGCTTTTTCCGTGTTACGTCGTCGGACTAATAAAAAACAATGAGATAGCACCATTTCAACGTAATTTTGGGTTAATTTGGCCGACTGGTCACATCCTTATCGACGCTATGTGTCATGTTGAAATAGTCATACCAGCATCTTGAACACAAATTGTTTAACTGTGACCATTCTTCCCATAGAAGAATGAACGAAGTATTGAAAAATTAGATTGTCATTAAACGCCTTTCTGGTACATGCTTGATCGTTTGAGGTCAAAAGCTTTCAAGCCAAATACAGTTTGAGAATCGGAACTACCCTACGGTGCTTTGTGAGCCACATAAATTTTCATAAAAGCTTCAGCCTACGAAATTGACGCCTAATCTTTCTTATGTTATGATCCTATCAGTTTCAATATACTTCTATGTACATGTATCTACAGCTGGCTACGAAATGGCGAGTGTTGATGTTAGCGTTGGCTGCTCGAAGCCTATGGGTTAACAGTTATATTACCATACTTTATGTATAGATATTGGCATGTTGTCGGTAATACGCTCTTACCGCAATACGCGGCGTCAAGTGTTGACACGTCTGTAAGCTACTGATATACAAGTACATGAAACGTTCTCATATGGTGTTTTGATATTTTAGCGGAACCAATGATCTCGGGCTGTTCCGCGAAACTGATACGGCAACTCTTTGTCAGGTCGAGTATATTAGTCTGCGATAGGTGTACAACGAGTGGCATTAGCGAAAATAAATTGTTTGCGACACAGTAAGTTATTGCATAAATGCGAAAATATCGGCAATACTCTTCGTGTAGAACGTCGGCTTTAGTGACGAATCCTTAACCTGTGTTAGGTCGTGACGGCTGTGCATGCCGGTTTCAACTAACAGGGTGGTGAAACCGTTTTTAGCACCAAACGCAATATCTGTGTGTAGATAGTCTCCGATGAACAGCGTGTTATCCGATCGTATCTCTGGATACTCTCGTCTAATCATTTCAATCATCGTAGTCGACGGTTTCCCTATGATTACAGCGCGTCGACCTGCGGCTGCTTCTATTGCAGCAAGTATTGCCCCTGTGGACGGAAGTACGATACCTGCAAAGGGCAAAATGAACGTGAACGCATGTGCGCAGTAGCTACTTGTAATTTCCAACGCAACTGCGTTAATTATCTAAATTCACATAAATAAACAAAAAAAAATCTTTAATCATCGAATAATATACCAGTGATTTTGTATACTTTAAAGAATAGCTTGTTCAGAAACCCTCGATCAGTTACCTGAGCTGTTTTTTTCAAACACTCGAACATCAGCCTCGGAAGCAATGAAATGACAGTTCGGCCTAGCAAGATAGGTGCAAGCTCGGCATACCTTCGCCATACTGAAATGATAGTCAAATCCAAGTACAACTGCTTCAACGTCAGTATCCATTTTCATATCCAACCAGGATTGTGGATGGCCATCGGCTAAATCCGGACCAGGGGGGTTGCATCTGAGGCCAGCCCCTTCAAGCTCATTCTGCAGGGCCTCAGTGCCCAGCATGTACACTCGGCCTTTGACTTTCCTCGATTGAAGGTAGCTAGCAGTAAGGTTATTTACGCAAAAGATCTCCCGAGGGGTAATTTGAAAGTTCATTTGTTTGAACTTATCCAGTAGTCCGGCCTTCGATTTCGTGCTGTTGTTTGTCACAAAACCGACTTTTAATCCGTATTCGCGCAGTTTTCGAAACGTGTCTCTAGCGCCGGACACCACTAGGTTTGAATGCCATAGAACGCCATCACAGTCGCTGAGCACGTACTCTAATCGTGGAAGCAGTTCACTCCATAGTTTTTTAGTTAGCTCTTTGGGTTGTTGACGTGAGTGCTCTGTTGTGTTTTTACTTCCATGTAGCCCCCTTTGGACTGAAATAACGGTCGCTTTTCGTAATGATGCCATGTTACAACTGCCGCGTTTTACGCCAACACCGCTCACGGTCATATAGCAACACACAACATAGCCAAAATAACGCTGAGACTCACTACACCTATTATATAACTAAACTTTGTTAATCATGCTCTTGCGTCATTTTACCATGTTTTATGAGATACATGAGTGGCTATTTAGTCTTTTGGCAGATAGCAGTACTGGAGTGCCTATCTACTGCCAGAACGTTCAACTATCGAAATAACGCGAGCTGCTGTATTGTCTGCCACAAGCCAGGAATTGGCCACGAATGGGAAAAAAGCTAGAGAAGACGAGAGCCGAGCGCATTCTGCCTGCGGACACCGCATTACAGACGACGCAGTGGCATCTTCTGACGGCGACAATGCGGTGAACGACCCCTAGGAGGCCAGATAGTCACAGGCTTACAGCTACAGATGGTATCTAGCACAAAGCTTGACGTCGAAGCGCGTCGGTCTGGTCAAGCACAATGGTACGACAATTGACTCAAAGTACGGCCGATTAATAACGGCGAAACCTATTTCGTGCATCTGTGTCTGTTATCGGTATTGGTTATTCTCGTATATGTACACTTCTCTCGAGTGCTATGTGTGAAGCGAGTGATTGTGCATGGAAGAAGGTTAATTAAAATTGTTTTTTCGTTTAGCCCAGGTGGGTTTTTAGCATATTTGTAGATCTTACCGTAGTAAAGTGCTTCCGGTTCGACCCCACGTATGGATACGATATATGAATTACGGAATGTACCTATAACAAGTAGCTGCACAACGCTCGTATCATCTGTTACCGACCCCGAACAAAGATGTTGTTAGTAGTCAATCAAATTATCCCTACCGGATCTTTTTTTGCTTGAGTTCCACGTATGAGAGTCAATATATCGTTCTATGTACTTTAGCCAACAACAGGCCAGAGGTTTAAACCAATGAAACGCATGTGTCAGACCCTCCTAATCAACTGGAATCAACAATGTGGTAAGCAACTGTCGCTATATTTTTACCATCTATTCTGTCTCTGTTGGTCGAAAACAGATCTATTAGCCGCCGACCGCACAATCCCTTTGCTGTCCATCTGGTAATTTTCACAACCAGTTATAGACCCAACGCACGATCTCGTTATGGAGAACTGACGTTGCCACAAACAACAGATCATATCGTTTCGATAACACTGATTATTTGAGCTATGGAAAAAGAACTGTATGGCATATATACGGTCACACATTAGACTTCCAGGCGAAGCTGGTTGCCAGACTCGATCGTGTTCTAAGTTTACTAATGACGCTCTGTATATAGCTGTATGTGCTGACGGGTTATGGTTAGAGATTTTGGTACCGTTTCACCTTGATTCCACCATCATTGATACAATATTTATACTAAAAATCGAAAAAACTTTATCTTTAGACGAATACGTCACTACTGACAGTTCAGCTTGGTATCCCGCGAAGTATAGATAAGAAACAAGTTCTTGGGAAGATGCGCAAGTCTTAAATAGCCGAGTCGTTCGCTTGTCATGAATATGTTGAACAGCCATTAGCAAGGCTACCGAATATGAAAGACACCTTCGTTTCCTAGCAAGTGAAATTAGCCCCATTCGATCCGGCTTACCAATATTATTGTACGGCATAGTTAAAGAGTACACGGTAAATGTCTTAATACATTTTATTATGCTAACTTGGAACCGTCGTAAGAGCTGCCAAGTTTAATATAGGCCTCTGGCTTCACTACGGAACGTGTTGTAGGGTGAAGAAGGTCATTCTCTAGCCTTGAGCCTTTACGGCGGAGCAGGATGTCTCAAGGTGATCGATGACGCATTTGATCGAGCGATCAAGTGAAGAATTTTTATCGTCTTTCGGGCATTCCATGAAGGCCTTTTTTAGTTCAGGAGACGTAACTAAGGAGGCCGATGAGCGCATTTTGGTCAAGTCAACCTAAAGAAATAACAAGTAAACATCAAAGCTGAGTTTCTTTGTTATCCAGAGAAAAAATCGTTTAGACGGAACGTTTATCATCGTTTACCGCGTCGGAAAAAATGCATCAATGCAGTATGCCATTCCGGTTTTCGAAATACTTCCTGGAAACGTTCATTGAATGCTATACAAAATGACCGCCCATTATCAGGAGGATGTCCATCAGTTCAATTCTGCACGAAGATCTTTAATAGTGTTCTTTGATACGGACCTTGTTAACTGAATAAAGCTCGTATCGCAACAATGCTTTATGGGAAAGGTTCGACTGATATAGCTGCAACACTTTGCTAGGATCCATTGGCTTTACCAGTAGCATATAGTAGTGGCCATTTTTCATTGTCATTGACTCCATTAGTACACGATACTTCTATATATGTATAGTTAAAAGTGTTGACTAGAAATATAATGGATTCATATCAATAAACCTTTAATTTACTTGTGTAATTCATATGTGGTTCGATTGCTAAATAGGGGCTATCTAGCCCAACAGCTAATATTGGAATAAAATAGGAGGTTTAATTGTTCCTTGCTAACCCTGTGGTTGTTAACGATGCCGTAGCTTTCGAGGACGCAGCCAAGACCTCGGCGAAATTTGGACATATCTGTGCCGCCAGGTTTGTTAATACAGGCTTCCATGCCTGGCTGTTTATTTTCAGGTATCTTGCTCTTCAAACAGGTACGCCATCTGCCGAACTGATTTGAGTCCGGTTGGTGATCCCCTGTAGCAGTATCCGCTAGAATTAAGCCACAATAAGCCAATCAGTTAGGTATACTCTTGTTTCCTCTCTACACGTATTTGGCATAGTATAGTGGATGGTCTAGAAGAAGGAAAAGTTTTCGTCAGACACAAAAATATTATAACTACGATGGTCATTTTCGGTGCTTAAGCCCAGTTAGAATTTTATGAGTAACTGGAGTCGATAATTTCATCTCTAATTCACAAAGAGTGAAAGATTCAAGTTAAAGACATAAAACGTTTCTGAACCCTGCTCATTTCAAACCGTTACAGAACTTACGACAACTTTTTCACTGGCTGACTATTGATAGAATCATTGCATAGTAACAATCCGAACGAAACTTACTATTAAGTCAATTGCATCACAATAATATTTGTGCACTCGCTTTGCCTATGTAAACCAAAATAAAAGTTAGAAGCCTAAAAAATGTACAGGCTTTTCCCGAAGCTAGCGAATGAAGTAGCGTTACCTATTCCTAAATATCATTTCAACCGCGTCGTCAATTTGAATGTATTTGTAAATAATCTGCGTAAGTGAAGTATCAGTTGAAAACCTGTGTTGTTCGTATTCTAGCTAGCGGTTAATTGAACTAAAAAGTTAACGATAAACAGATATTTTACCGGCAGTCAGACAGGCGGTGCTGGCCAAAAGAGCGACGACCAAAGTTTTCATCTTGACTATTATACGTACAACGGTGTCTGGAAGGTACGCAGGTTCGCAACGGTCAGCTTGAATACCTCCACCACAAATGCCATTTAAGTGTAAGAGGCGGTTTTCATACATGAAGCTTAATCGTCGGCCGGATAATGTCTTCAGGGCAGTCTCCGCCCCAAGAGGAAGGAGAGAAACAGCGCGAGTCTATGAATGGTCACGATATTCACTCTCTCGCCGTCGTCCTTCCTTCACCGCGGTCACTGACAGCATTATAAGCACAAGGGAAAAGCACTAGCAAGCACAGCCGCAGAGAGAACACATAACAGCTGCTGCACTAAATCGGAAAGAGACGATGGAATGGAAAGAGTTTATTCGTACGAAGACGCGAAACTGAGTGAATCAAACGTGATTTGAAGAACTTGGCAGTGAAATCCTAGAGAGCGGTTCGTACCGCAGTCGCGTATTAATAAACTGGGGCCTATAAGTGGAATAAACGTCAGTTTACGTTAAAAAGAGACGTCGAATTAAAGCGGTAATACGCACAGGTTTAACGAAAGGTCACTCATTGATATAGAAACAGTTAACCAGCAAGAGTGAATATGACTTATCAGCTAAAGCAGCGGACTTTTGCAACACCGGCTGAGTAAATATGTTAAACAATTCTTATATAGATAATACGCATTTCATTGCGAAACGAAGAACACGGCCCAGTGTTTGTTTTATAAACTTCCCGCCTCTCTCAAATCAGTCACATTATAGTTAAAAAAAAAAAAAAAAAAACAATTCGTAGTCTATAAATCAGTGGAATACTTATTTTAATTGCAACACGTTCTCAATTTGTAGATTGTAATTTTCTTTTTTTTGTTCTCTTAAGCCTTCGTTTGATTATTAGAGTCTCTACAAATTACACAAAGTTCTACTGAATTTAGTGCATTGATTACAGTCACTCAAGTAGATCCTAAAGAGGCTACTATGTACAAGTGCCTCTTTCCGTTTCCTAAAATCAATTAGCTACGAAAATATGTCTTCAAGTAGGTTCATGATAAAGCATAAATAACGACCTATTTTAGATAGGGTCACAATTAAGGCACCATGCACCGATAAGTGGTTTGGGTGCTAGAAATGTTCACAATATGAACTAGTATCTACGATTGGGCACCGTTGGCAACAAAAAAGTAGTCCACTACTGGGGATATCTGCCCCACTTAACAACACTGCCATATTTTGTAACTGGCTATACATGTGATCAGGCACAAAGCGAGAAGCATGTCCAGTTTTATTCGTTGCTTTCTGATGGTGATTTATTGATTTCAAGTTCCAGTTTGTTGAAAGCAGTTGGTGTTGTTGTTGGCCTGCCGTATACATGACAGACAAATTTTCGTTTTCTTTATAAGTGTACGCAATGAAGCTAGCGATTATCATCTGGAAAATTTAATTATTATTTTTTTATTATAGCTCTAATAGAGCATGGTAAAATCCTATTGCCGAATATATAATTTTTCATCTGTTATAATGCTTAATATGTAGCAGTGACCCTTTGTGGACTCTGCAGCGCGTGCATAATAATAAATTACACTATTGGGATCCCGACAAGTCTTTACAAGGTGCTACATACGCACTCGATATGTTCCTTTTATTATGCCGTTTGAAACTGCTCTCTTTTATATAAAGGATGTTGTATTCTCGTAGCACAATGAGCGGTAGTTCAGCCGTCGAAGATAGATGCTTCTGATATAAAAAAGCACTTTTAGCACTTACCTTATTTCGCTTTTCGCTGAGATCAAACAGCCGTCGAGGTAGCCTGGAGTATTTGTACGGTGTATAGTTGTTTGAAAACGTTGACTGTGTTTAAGAATGGGATTTTAGACCTGAAAAGTACACTTCATCCCGGTCGCTTGTCCGAGAGTCAATAAAAACCATTGATAGGTGGTTACTCCGAAAAGTCCATTTGTTTATAAAATGTTCATATACGGTTTGAAATTTTATTAGAAACTAGAGGCTTGGGTGCGCCATGCACTGGTGAAGCAGAGAGATTCACTTCCAGCACCAATAGTTACAGTGACATAGTATATGACTAAAAAAACATGAAAACGCTATTGGTTAATTGTTTTTCGAAACAATAAAGAGCTAGCGTCATCAAACAAAAAAAAAAAAAAAAAAGATATCCTATTGGCGTACTACCTTTCAGTTTCAGGAAGTTACCGTTGTCCTGAAATTGTCTCAGTAAAGGTGACTTTCGATATGGCGTTAGTAGGGTCAATCTACTTTGCATTATAAAGTAGACCTTTAGATAACCTCACTCTAGTAACAGTAAATAGGAGAGATGATGCGCTTTTTAGCGGTTTGATGACGACGCTGTGGAAATGGCTTATAATGGGCGGCTAAACGCTTTCTCTTCATAAGGGAACTTCCGTTAGTTACGTACTTCATTAACTAAAGTTCTACAAAAGCTTTAATTGGTTCATATTTTAGAAATGCCTAGTTTTACTTACGTTTTATTAGAAATTTCTGCGTAAGTACCCATCGGATAAACAATTATAAAATAGGGTGGGTTTTCTTGGACTGCTGATATTTTTGTAGAATCTAGTTGAAACTTAGTCGATACATTAATGATTGCGGCTCTTATACCCCCGAGAAAAATGTGACTTGGACACCGAATAAAAGATATTCCAGGATTAAAAGTATATACGTTTACGGAAACACTTATGAAGCAAACACTGCGGCTCGTTTATATCTGATGTAACAAACGAATGAATTCACTGAATAGTTTTCCTACTATTTAACGCGCAAAGTTATTTGGTCAAGCAATCTTCAACTTAGATACACGCTCGCAGTGATAAGCACTAACTTACTTGCAAGCAAAACGTAATACTTACTGGGTTAAATCCGTTTTTTGTGGTATTATTGGTTCATGGTATATGCTACTTCGTGTGTCCACCATAAAACTTCCACTTCGGCTCTTCTTACGATAGCTCTTCTTATGCCCAATGTAAATACAGTCAATACGCTTGGTACCTTTACTTCAAAATTGCTAATGAACGTTTTTTATTATCTTACTTTCTTGGTTGTTACAACTTTCGACTAAATTTTCGATATATCTGGAAATCTTGGTAAATTTGAAGATTTTACCAGATTTCTGCATAGGTCTGCATAGGATTTTTAGGACATACATAGTGGCCAATAAATGAAGTGGCAAAAAATATTGTTTGTTGTTTAACACCTATTCGTAGTAGTTATATGAAGTAATAGGATATTCACTGATGCACGAAAAGGTAACTTCGAACACGCTGCAATTATATCCCTAAAAAATCGTAGCCTTAAGAGATTTTTCATGTTTGCTCCTGAGAGCGATCTATGTATCCACCGCGTCATATATGCACAATTATCCAGATAGTTATCGTCAAGTGTATTTTCGATTAACTAAGCCGTGAAGTTCATGCTTTGCGTTTCGAACTTGCCCTTTGCAAACACGCACAATTTGTGAAGTTACAATTGTAACTGAGTTTACGTAATTGCCAGTTATGCTTGTCATTTCTAAAAACAAGCCTTAACATTTTCGGCTGTCAGTAAAAACTTTCGGATATGGCTCACAAATACGAACTAATGTAAAAGAACGCTTATAGCTGGTGGAGAACGAAACATCGATACTCTTTCTACAATGAAAAGTTCCCTATATCCTGAATTCGACTCGAAATTACTCTACTCGGCTAAATTTCGTTATCGAAAGAAATATTTTATCTTATTTTATTAATTCGTATTTAACTGTATTTAAGTGTAGCTGGTATGACATCAAAGTAAACACCGGAATTTGACATTCTACTATCTAAACGCTTCGTTCGGTTGAATATTACCACAATGACCACCATAGCATTCAATAATCTCTTTGTCTGACAAATAGCCCAGAAATGTTTACATGTTTACTTATATCATTGTCCTCTAATCCTGTGTGCCTAATTTTTAAGAGAGTTACCTACATTGGATTCGGTTCCTTTCCTAATCTTTGCTCTTTTCGACTCTATTATCATCGTATCTAAATACCATCAAAAGCAAGTCAGGTTTATCTTACATATCGATGTTTGTATATTACACACCATTCAATGCTATAATATACACCGTCGGTGACGCCGCCTAGCGGTTTCTCGCGAAACTCGCCTACGAAAATGCTCTCTCCCTTTAGGTGTTTCTGCCGGTTGTCACGGAGGGCGTTGTGCATCGCTTGCCCTTGCCAGTATTCTAATTGTTATGATCACGCTGTTAAGCTGTTGATCGAACTAACTACCATACATGCAGGTGAGACCGGCGGATTCGATTGGGGCAAAAACTAATCAGTGTAGATGGCTGCTGCTGGTAGCATTGTTTAATCTTTCATGTCGAGTCAAGCATAGTCCATTAGCCATTTGTCGTAGTAGTTTTCCTTTGTTATATTTCCATTCATCCGTACATCTTTGGCCCCCGCATGCCAGCTGACTGGCGACCCACCCGTTCGCAATGGCCAAGCTATTGACGCAGAACGAATGGCTTGAGATTCTCCCGAAGGTGAAGTATGTTTTGTCGGACTGTGACGGAGTTCTCTGGAACGGTGATCGAGCGATCGAGGGAGCAAGGGAATGCCTAGCAATGCTACGTGAGCTCGGCAAAAAGATCTGCTATGTAACTAACAACAGTACGAAAACTCGACAAGATGGTGTCAACCACTGTCGAAAGCTAAATTTTGACGCTGAAGTGGACGATGTGTACTGCACGTCGTACGCGACCGGCGCTTACCTTAAAAGTAAAGGTGTTAAATCGATATATCTCATAGGAAGTAGCGCACTCCGGAAGGAGATTATGATGCAAGGTATCATCTGTAACGAACTCGGACCGGAAAGCTCGGACGGACTATGGAGTTCACTCAAAAACATGCAGTTGGGAAATCCGGTGGATGCCGTTGTTGTAGGTTACGATGCCAATTTTTCTATACCGAAGGTGTGCCGGGCTGCCTCGTATCTTCTTAATCCGCAGTGCCTATTTGTAGCCACTAATGAGGATCAGTCGCTTCCTACAGATCGAAAAGGTAACATTACGGAAAAGCTTACTAAATGGTAATTGCCATCATTGACACGTATTTAATAAGCAGTGGCAAACATATAGCACAGGTATTATTGCTTGTCAGTAGACGTTGCTTGGTAATGTCATCAATCAAATAAAGCGCCTTTTTCATTGCTCTTAAAGGAAAAGAAAGCCGAGGCTGGTTTAGCCATCAGATACATTTTAATTTGTGAGTTTTCTCAGAGTATATAACCTTGCCGCCTTATTTTCTATTGTTCGACTAATTCACACACTATTTATGGAATAAGACGTATATCGCAAGTGAATCATTGTTTAGTATAAGCAATGCCTAAATTTGCAGCGGTTTAGATGCGAAATCGTTGAAAGTTCTTACTCAAAAAAATTAGTGTGGCCTATAATGAACAAATTTCAATGTGAACTTTATTAAACGTCAACTTTCAAAGGAACCTGTGCTCAAAATCGACACAAAAGATAAGTTATTCGGTCAAAAAACTGCATACAGAAACTGTCAGATGTCAATGTAAGGGCGTTTAACAAGCACATAATGAAAATAAAGTTCTTTGCGAACTCTTCTACTTGGCTCATTTCAGGAGATATTTTATGGTACTTCTAATACTTGTCAGCAATCTCGTTGTCTGTTGTTTTGTTATGTGTGATGGAAATTTTTTAATCTAATTCAGCTCCAACGTTGTTGCACAGAAGAGAATGCAAATTAAGGGCTGAAAAAAGGTATTCGATAACGTATATAGCCAAAAAGGGGAAGTTCTAAAGATTCAGTTGACTTGTAGAGTTGAATTTGGCTGACAGCCGTGCTCCTTCCTCTCCAGTAGCGAAGAAGAAGGCTTTTAACTATTAGAACTGCACGTTACACAAGTAATGATAGGACCAACATACCGGTACGTAAATATGCATATATAACGGTCAGCGATTCAGCATCATGCGATTTACATGGACATTTGCTGTGCTTATGTGTTCACAGACATTGTAATTCCAGGAACGGGTTGCCTCGTGTCTTGTGTCCAGGTGGCTGCCGGACGTCCTCCAGTTGTTATTGGGAAGCCCCATTCGACCTTGGTTGATCTGCTTCGTCACGATCATCCAGATCTGACGCCAGATAATGCACTTTTTATAGGCGATCGGCTGAACACCGATATTGAGCTGGGTCGCCGACAAGGTTTTCGTACGCTTCTAGTGGAGACCGGCACGCATAAACGTACCGATATCAACCCCGAAAAACCCCCGACATATTATGTGCCGTCGCTCAACGATCTTCTCATTTATATGAAGTGAAGTCAAAAGCCGTTTTTTTACTCAGCTGTCTACTCAATTGTACCACATATCGTATGTATACGACATGTGGTACAATTCCCAAATTGGGTAATAGAGGTCCTAATACTATCTACTAATTCCGTACTGATCTATGTTTGCTGTAATACTCAACAGCAGAAAACATCATAGAATAAGTCTTTACAGTAAATTTTGTTTCTAATTGATCCTTCCCAGTTGCCTTTTAGTTAAATTTTTAACTAGAAGGAAACTTTTTATTTAATTTATATTATGATAAATTACTGAAATATTTCGAGGTTTATGTCATATTGTTTCATATGGCTAGTTTCCAGCACAAAACGATTGCCTAACTTCACTAGGCAAACTGGTTACCACTGAGCAATAACGAGTGCATTATACGATTAATTTAAATCGTACCAAATGTGATGATATGGCACTCCTCTAACGGCAGACCACACATATCTCCTGGGAAACGTGCAGGAAACCCGTCGCTTTATCTAACGCTGCCTTCATCTCTGTCATGAGTTCGCCTCAGCCTCGCTTACATGCAACGGCGACTCTGTTTCATAGCGGCAATGACGGCGACTCTAATCTACTACTTTACGACCCAACTACGTTAATTAGATTATCAGGTCAACGGTTTGGCAAGGTTAGAACTACGTTAACTGACAAGCGACAGTCTACATAGCTCTAACTTATCACAAAATCTTGCAAGAAAATACTTTCAGCTTTCATTTCCAACACATTAGTTATAAACGTAAGTTTAATAAAACTCGAAACAGCAGCTCGAAATAACTCTGGCTTAGCACAAATGCTTTTTTTCTTTACAAATTTGAAGTTGATCACAGATCCTGCCAGTGGCAGCATATAAAAAAGGCAAGTCATTGGAACACTATTCGTAAGCGACTAACTAACCGTTGTTGTCAGTAACTTCAAACTGCTCCAGTTTCAATGTAACTATATCCACCTCTTCAAACGAGCGACAATGCACAAGATCGTGACTTATTTCAGCATTAGTTGTGGGCTATATCGGTTCGTCACAGGGTCTGGTAAGCTAACACGCTCATCGTCACTCGGGTTTGAGCTAACACCAGTCCTGGGCTTGGTCAAATTTGGGGATGATGTCAGCATTGGCTTCCTCTGACCACATTAGCGGTTAGATTTTACGTACAAAGCACGATAGAATTAGTCTTTAAGAACGAGGCCTATTCCAACCTTGGCTGCGGCGATTCGGAAGCTATCCGTTCACTTTGGTCTTGCGCTGATGTTCATACCCGCTATACTTTGTTCTGAATACAGATGTACGATTCGATATCCTAACTAGACAAAGATTTCGCGACCCTCGGAACATATATCCGAACTCTTGGGGTCGGCTTTACTGCGCATTCAGCCGATCAGCGGCTGGACCGAAACTTCGTAGCTCTTTTACAAGACTGGATACTGTGAGAGAACATAAGCCTCGTTGAGGAGTGCGAAGTCTTTCCTTCAATTGGAAAATAAACGTATTAAGAACAGGGAGAATCTTTTTGCTTTATTTGCTAACGGAAAACTCGTCGTTGACACTAGGAAAAAGACAGTCGAGTGTTTCGAGCGCTTTCCTTTTTGACCCTGGAGTTTCTCCCAAAAGGTGAAGCAGAACCCTCGGTGCGTCTTCTATGCCCAAGATGTGTCTTTAGCGCTGACGAATTTATAAACCGGCCTCATGTCCGATCATGTATCGAGGCAGTTTCTCGAGCGTACGATCAGTACGCCCTTGTTTCGGCCGAAGTTAAGGTGTCTACAGACATGTTCATATCTGCAAAGAGGACGAAGCAACGATAGACAGGTAGTTCGAAAATCCAGAGCTTGCTTATAAAGATGCTTATGAGAATCATTGAATGTCTTTTACCAAACAATGTGAGTTCGCACAAACCGGTCCACTGTGACTCGTCTCCGTGGTAGCCTAATGGGTTACGTATTTGCCTGTTAATGTGTGGACACGTTATGGTCAAACCCGGGTACAGATATGTTTCATCTTTTGCTGGGAGCCAGCCGTCTGCTGAAAAGCTTAACGGCGATACCGCGCCTAAGACTCGAAACGAACTTAGGTCCACTGTAACCTAATATAACCATGGCACACATTGGAGTGACTGAACAGAATCGAAGAACCATTTTACTTGTATATATTTCGGTTTCTGACGCGCCTTAGACAGGTTCAATCCATTATTGCATTCTAAATTTTTCAAAGCTGTGGGACGACGACGACGACGAATGACAACTAGTTTAAAGGGGAAATCGAAGCGGAAAGAAGTCGGAAGTATGTTCCGCTCTGAGTAAGCCTGGCCATCGGCTCGTCCGGGGCTCCCAAGGAAAACTGTATTTTGTTAAATCCACGTTACCATTGTGGTCCACAAATAAATAACTTGAACAAGTATCCGTCCGTTCTAAATGAATATAACGTGCATCTTCTGCGAACTCCAACGAATAACATGTCCAAATGGTCAGGCTGAAACGACGTCGAAATCGCGGTACAGAGTTAGAAGATGGTGACATCTAAATGAAGCATGCCGATGTATACACTGAACCAAACTGAAACAGCGATGTCTGCTCTCGAATTAATTTCGGATCTAAACCTCATAGTAACGTCTGAAGTAGATCTATCCATTTGCGTTATGGTTACTAGAATATGCAACAGTGAGTTCTCATGTCTAGCTCTCGAACGCTCCGAGTTTTTTATGCAGTGATTTTTATATATGCAATAATTTTATATTGTGCCCGCGCGACGTAACCGTGTTGCTGACGTAGGAATATTGCTGCACGCTAAAAAGTTCAAATGTATATTTTTCTTTAAAAGTAACTGGGGCATAACTGTCATTTTTAACGCAGCAGAATTTCTCGAATAGCGATAGCGACCAATACAAGCAGGTTAATTTTTCATTGTATAGGACATTTTTTCATGACCTTATATAAAAAATTCGCCATCTTTTAACATTGAACATGCTAAATAAAGACGCAGCTAAAACGCATTGTCATCTACGACAGATAGAACAGAGCTAGTCAGTAATTTCTTCTTTCGAACAACGGATTCGGAGGATGATAAATAATATATGTTTGTTTCCCTCGATTAAAAGTATTTTCACTATAATTATTGAGTTGATACTTGTGCAAATGCGCAGACGTCAGTTCAGATCACTGAGCTGTCTGAACTTGACTGGAGATGGGACGAAGATCTTGAAAACTGCCGAACATTTTATTATATACACAATATCAGTTCAAATACAATAGAATGCTCATTCATAAAAAGGACTCACCGTTTCGTAAAACGCGAGTTTGCTCGCGAGTTCTGGCCCTTCACTGAATTAGGCTTCAAACTACGACAGGGCGTCTCTGCCTATTGGCGGCCGACGCGTCTCGTAGCAAACGTTACGTTCTACCTAAATGAGCATACCGCCTAAATATAATTCAGGTGGAGAAATTGAATTTAGAATTTCCTTAGCTGTTGCGGAAAAGCCACGACTAAACTCGTTGGAAAATCCTTGTGGAAACTATCGCTCTTTAGGGCCGTTCTGCGGTTTTGGATTTAACGTTTGGTGGTCGCTTCCAGTGAATACATTACTCTGCTAAATAAACAGCGAACACTAGAGCTTCTATAGGCCAATCGATGGCCTTAATCCGAATCAGGCTTAATCTTTAAACTTACCTTTATGAGGTTTACGCAACCCTGCTTGGATGCCATCAAACAATTTTCTTTATTTTTGGTATTCAATTAATATTACGATATTGATTCTCTATCTATTCCGCATTATCTGAAGGTAAAAAATAACTAATAATATAAATATTAATGTAATTTTATTTAGAAGTCGATTATCTACGAAGATGTGCTACCATAGGGGTTTGTCGTCTGTCAGTTGCTTCTGTTATTGAAAATAACCGTCCCACATTTAACATTCCCTCGGGAGATTTTGAATAGGGGCTTTGGCTGGCAGTCAGTTCTGTGTTAATATTGCTAATGCAAGGAGTAAAAATGCAATATTGTTCTTCTGTAGCTTCGTAACATTGAGAGGACCTTATTCTTGGTGGATAATCACCATATTCCCACCCGTCAACATTTGCACCAAATTTAAGCCACTAGGACCACGCTGATGAGCATTCGATTCAGTACCATGAGATCTCCATTCCAGCTAAGAAAATATCCTCCGCGATTTCCGGTAGATCACATAATTGAGTAGACATTTATCGTTTGTTCTAACATTTAATATCCACGAATTTATTGACTTTTGTTAAATGTTTTATGGCCTGACGTGTAAACCCAAAACGTCCGATCACACAGAATATAGCTCAACTGAAGCACCGGTACATGAGTTGTTTTATATTCTTATCGACCAAACATTGTCGCTGGAACCACCCTTATTCCAGCAGATAATTTTGCAGCATAATTTCAATTGCTTCTGCTTACTTTGACGCCAACTTACAATCGACTTCGAGGTGATCGATGAGACACTTTATACTACGATCCTCGGAGGTATTCTTATCATCCTTGGGACAATTCTCGTAAGCTTTTTTAAGTTCGGGCGAGCCTGCTGAAGCAGCGGTCATTGACATCTTCTTCAAATCGACCTAAATACATAAACATACGCAAAAATCGAGCTTACTTACGCCGAGTGCAAGCTAAGTATATGCTAACATCCAATCGAGGACCAGAGACGGAAGAAGGTGTGAGTCGAAAAACTCTAACTAAAGAACAAGGTTCACACAATTTTTTTCATGTTTGCACACGAGGAATTACTCTTGTCATTGACAATAACATCACACGTGATTCTGATCCTTGCTATCGCAAAGATTTTAAGGCGAGGTTCAATGCACACGAACATGACAGCGTGAGTCCTGTAAGATGCTCTTCCTTTTGACCCAGGACTTCCTGAGTGAACCAAACACTATCAGCTTATTTCCCTAACAGACTAAGAGCTTTGTATCATATAGTATGCTCTTCTTTAGCGTTTAAAAGCACACAGCAAATACAAAAACAAGACTAACTAGCATGATTATCGTTCACCGTTAGACGAATTAGTTATTGGTCTAGGTCACGTGAGCGACGTTCGCCGCCATGTTGTGAGGTGTGAACGCAGTGTTTAAAATTTTATGTCCTTTTCTAAATAACGCCTTTATTTGAAAATATTCATGACTAAACGTATAGAATATTTAGAATTTAGCTTTTTCTAGCAAACGTATCTTCATTGTACGAGATACCGATTAATGAAGGAACGGCTGTTAATCTACGTATTTGTAGCTCGAGAGCTCTATACGTAAGTATAACAATTGTACTTGACTATGTGTCGCGCGGGTATATGTTACCTTGTGATTTTTCAGTAGTCCGTCACTGGTTAACACACAATTAAGTCCTCGGCGAAATTTGTTCATATCTGTTCCGCCTGGCTTAATAAAACATTCATCAAACACTTCCCTTTTTTTTGCGGGCAATTTATCTGCTAGACATGTCCTCCATTTTCCGAACTGAGAAGTGTCGGACGCGTGGTCTCCGGAGGCGGTATCGGCTGAACGGATCGGTGAGTAATTAAGTAGCCCAAAATCACAGTGTTAAGGAGAGAAATAGCACATTTATAGCCTGCCACCTCTGGGCATTTTGCAGTTACCCAAATGCGCACTGTGGTGCAGATCAAATCACTTTTCAAAAACATATAACCATTGTTATTATACGCTATAATTCGCTAATCATCATAAGGCTAACTTTTTGCACAACAAAAACTCGTCTGTAAACACAATATACAAAAAAAAAAAAACAATTCCGAAATTGTGGATCCACGAAGGTACATTCTCTTTTCACAAATACTGAAAAGTTGCATAATTTTCTGCTTAGATACCTTATGTATGTATGCATGTATGTATGTATGTGTGTATGTTAGAGCTTACCTGAGCAACAGCACGCCAGCATGGCCGTTACGATATACACAGCCGCATTCATTATGATTCTGCAATTGTAAAGTAGCAGGACTGTTTAGATATGATATTTATGTTGGCAGCCGCAAAAGTTGATAGTGATTCTCGCAGCCGTGAAAATGTATAGTGGTACGTCAATAAGCAATTAAAAATGCCCACAAAACAAACAACAATCACTGGATAAAACACACAATTTGATTTACAACTACGGGGCAATCGTGTCTACGGGAAAGATAAAGGTGGACACCTAAGCTGATTCGTAAAGGGTACAAATTTCTATTAAATAATCTACAAATAGTTAGAACAAGTGTGACCCCGATGGATTCGTACGAATAGGTAGTTAGGTCAACATAACCGGAATAGCAAATGACGCTTGTACGACACAAAAAAAATTGGTCAGAAATTTACGCTCTGTCACCCCGTCCGCAATTCTCAGAAGGTTTCGCCTTCTGAGGTCTGGTGAGTTATCGTAAATTATCGGTAGAATTAAACTCCACAAGTAACAAGTACGAGGAGATGCCGCGGTCACGAGTCATGATGTAATGGTGGATTCGTAGCGTTGTGGATTTCATTTTATGTAAGCGTGTCTATGATCTGCAACTTACGATACATATATGTACGAAGGGAAAAATGCTTAAATGTAATTATAGCAATTATATATATTATATAAAAATGTCAACTATTTACAGGGAAATTTATGATAAGTGAAGAACAATTTATTAAAATGTTTTTTTATTTGTTAGATTTGAATTATTTAGTTTCGGTTTGAAAAAATTGCTTGCCTTTAGTGTGTCCATTGATATATCTACCAGGTATATCTTAAGCTAATTAGAGGTTCATGAGAGAGAGCAATGATTTCATTCAGGTACTGTCGAATCCTTTACGAATTAAACGCTATTTACTAATACGAGCAGGTCGAAAAGGTACAAAGTAGAGATACCGAATACGAAATACCAAAATTCATTTAGAGAACGCTCGAATCAAGTAGACTAGTGGTAACTGCTTGATTTCGAAACTCTGCTAGCGAGCATCATCCGACCACAATTCGAATTTATCCGCGAATTCTACCATTTTCGCGCGGTTGGCCACTTGTAGGCACTTGGTGCAGGCTTCGGTAACAGGCTAATCCATAGCCGCTAACCGCAAATGCCTCGCCACGTTTCCACGCTTCATCATATTAGTTAGGGCATCAGAGACTGTTATTCAGTTGATCTCTGTTGGCTCTGTAATCAGGACTTTCGAAAACCATGGAATTGTTGACCATTGCCAAGGGTCTACTCAGCTTTAAACCGGATAAGGTTCTTATCGACAACATAGTGTTTCGTCTACATTATCGTTTTACTTCGCTTCTGCTTCTTGGGTGCTCGATTCTCGTTACGTCATATCAATTTTTTGGTGATCCCATCGACTGCATCACCCGCAACAGTGTACGGCCTGAGCTCCTTGACCGGTACTGCTGGGTCCAGAAGACGTTCAGTATCCCATCCCAATGGCATGGTCAGGTTGGGTCGCAGGTTGTCTTTCCAGGGGTCAGCCATTCAAGGAACGACGACGTTGTGTACCATGCGTACTATCAGTGGGTGTGCTTTGTCCTGCTCTTCCAGGCTGTTCTATTCTACACCCCACATTACATGTGGAAAACCACTGAGGGTGGTCGACTGAAAAATATTGTTCGCGAAATTCGAGGATCATTCTCAGAACAGAAAAAAATGACGAAAGTGCTCTATCCCGTTGTTTACTGCATGCAAAATGGAATAAATCTTCGATATGGACTAGGGTATGTGCTCTGTGAAATGCTCAACTTGGTTAATGTCGTTGGCCAAACTTATCTGATGGATCGCTTCCTTGGCGGCGAGTTCTTCAAATATGGGCTACAAGTGATATCGTTTACTGAGTGGTCGCAGGAAATTCGCTATGATCCCATGATTAAGCTGTTTCCCCGAGTAACGAAATGCACCTTCCGGACGTTTGGATCCTCCGGCGACGTTGAGATCACGGACCATATGTGTTTACTCTCTGTGAACATCATTAATGAGAAGGTGTATCTGCTACTGTGGTTTTGGTTTTTCGGATTGACGCTAATCACCCTGCTTAGCGTACTATACCGTGTCGCTGTGCTCCTCAATTTGCACGACATTCGCTACAAATCATTAAGCCGTCCGGGATTCGCCGGTAATAAGCGAATCCATGAGCTTTGTCGGAATATGTCAGTCGGTGACTTTCTATTTCTCAGCCTAGTTATGGAGAACGTGGACCGACTCTCATACAACCAATTTATAACGAACCTGGCTAAACTTTACGAGGACCACGGTATCCCTTCGTCGAGGGATAAGGAAACCAACGACCGGGAGAATCACTGCAAGATCAATTTCAGCAACCAGCAGCAACATGACTACAAAAACCAATCTTTTAGATCAACTGACATGTAAATGAACGCTAAACACAAACGGTAAACGATGCCAAGAACAAACGAGCGCCATGCTTCGATCGCATACCTATATATATATATATATATATATATATATAGTTGAAGACACACTGCGTCGTATTGATCGCCTCTTCATCTGAAGACCCGATCCAGAGTATAACGCATTGTCAAAGCGATTTGCTGGCTTCTTTTGGCACAGGACGCCGCATTGTAATCGCTAAATGAATATCTTCATTTTTCAAACAACTGATTTTGTAGCCGTGAATTTTCAAAAAATTTGCCCATATGTCACTTTTGTGCTCACTTCGCCGATTCAAAAAAGTCATGCCCAGCCATATTCGTCATGATGCATTAAATTCACGCTATAATAAATCTATGTTCGATTTGAGAGTTTTACTTTAATCGAATTTTGATTCTTTGAACGGGTAGCTAACTCATCAATCTTCTACTAGGAATGCGTTCAGAAACAAGAAGATGCCTTCAGAAAATCCTGACTGCTTCTTGATCTTCGTTAGAAAGCATTTTAGACACTAGACATTAGCGAAATATCTAATATAAATGTATAATTCAATATTTGACTAGAAAAGTAATTACGAAGCAATGGGAGTAATGCTCGCTCCTATTTTAACTCCCAAATGAGAAAACTTTAGAAAGTCCATAATCAATTTTTGGAATTATTGATCCGTTAGTCCGGCTGCTGACTAACTCCAGCCGTCAGTAACAAGCTGGTGACAATGTTTGCTCTATATATTTATAGCAAAAATGTGTCCGGACGCAGAAACTACCTGCAGAGTATCGACGGAAAAAGCTATGGATGATGTAGTTGAACGGTGCACAGGTCGCTAGATACATCGATCTCGAGAGAAAGTCGACCGCCATATGCATCCATTAGCAACATACGAGTGCTTGCAAGCAGCTCTCGAGCGGGAAACACACTCGAGCTAAAAGAAAGACAAACTAATCGGATGGACGAGCGTACGTCGGCATCGACGCTCCTTACGATTGCATCTTTCTACTTATTCATTCAGATCGTCACTGTGTTCGTGATCATGTTACTGTGTTTAGGAAGGCTCGAACGGTTGTTGTTCAGATGACAGGTCATGCAACGGACTTTTTGTCGTGTTACCGCTGTCGCGACGAAGCCATTGCTCAATGCTTGGCAAACTTCCTTAATCTCGCCAGTCTCGTGACTGACTCCTCATCTGGCGCCTTACCGCGGCTCGTCAGTACGTCAGCAATAAGCGTTAGTCTGATACAGTTTAGCTGGTTGGCCTAGGTACTGGGGCAGTGCGGCTGACGGGCGAGTATAAACACGCGGCGTCGAAGGCAAGGCAAAGTGTTCCAATTTAACAGAAAAACGTACAGATCAGCACTACTATGTAAAATCAGTGAATCGGCTCATGTCAGCACAAGCCGAGTCGGTAGACAAACATTAATGCTAACGGCTATGGCAATCGGTTAAATACGGCGCACGTACACACACGAATAAACATTTTTACTCAGTCGGTATATGCTTGTTCTATAGGCGATAATATATCTGCTAGCCGCCGTGTGCTTGTCCTATGCAGGTCCGTACGTTCAGCCTTCTCGAAGATGTTTATAGATTGATAAATTCGTTTTGTGTGCGCTAAATCTGCAAAGCTAATGTGGTTACGATAACAGATTTGTGTTGATTATAACTGACACATAGAACAAATAGTCGATCGACATTCGTCCGTGTATCTAAATTACAGACAACAGGTAACGAGCATGTTATAGGAACAAAACAAATGGACGAGGAGACCGGTTTACCCTATATATGGAAACAATGTAAATGAGCCTTGAAATTAATAAACACAATTCTAAATATGCAATAGTAATTACGGCCGTATTTTTTCCGTAGAAAGATGAACTAGCTCGAGTTCGATAAATTATCGAAACTGTGAGCTATTCTGTTGCTATAGGCACCACCCTAAATTTCAGGAACATCACTGTCTTTTACTTTACTTCATTCTTTTATTTTTCAAAACATCAGTCCGTTCAGAGCTTGCTTTAATCATAAAGCAACACAATTTGTATGGTTAAACGATAGGTAGTCTCTTGTGGAGAAGTAATCGACTATAGGTAGAGGTGTTTACTCACCATGTGCTGGTCTCTATTGCTCGTCCGTTAGGTAGCGCCTAAGTTGCCTAGGAAGTGCGAAAAATTGCTTTTTATAAATGTGAGGGCGCTGGCGTCGGTCCGAGGCGCTGCAGAGCAAAGTAAGTCCCTGATCACTGGCTCCGTTTCATATGGGCCTCTTCTTTGTTGCGATTGTTAACGACAGCTGTTTTAGATTGACGTTGATTTATCGACAAGGTCCATTGTGTGTCAGACAGGCAAAAGGATTGAACAGTTACTGCTTTGATATAGTTGCAGATCTGTGTACGACGATAGTTTATGGCTGTTGTCGTTGTTGCCGTCAAGAGTGATATTTGTCCGGACGACTGAATCATTGTCTAGTGGATGGAGAAAATTTTTATTTGGAACCCCGATGATCATCCGTTGCATAGCTGATGGTCTAATATGACTCTATTCCTTCTGCCCTTACTACTGGAAAGTGAGTCGACAGTTTTACATGCCCTTTTCTCAGTTTCTGTGAACGTTAAGGCTGATCAGTCGAATGCAAATTTCGCTCCTGGGCAAGTGAGACACAATGAACCAGAAACGCCTTCGCTGGATCCGGCGCTGGGGAATATTAGCGCGCTATTCAATCTTTAAATGCGCATCTCCAGGATTTACTGGCACGATAGCTAGGCACCAAAACACGCAAAATAGAATTGACCACAACGGCTTTTGTTCGCGGAGCGGTTGGTGGCATTGAAAATCACTCGCAGCCCTCGCTACCCCCTCCCCCCATCTCTCTCTCTCTCTCTCTGGTCTGAGGTAACAGCTTACTCTGAACTGGCTCCACAGCTATGGTTCCATGTAAAGACTAAATTCTGAACCAATGTAACATGTCCAACATTTTTTCATTCCTTTCTGGGCGATGCCGCTTGTTGGCGCTAAAGTATTGTGCTCGTTAGGCTTTTTTGAAAGCGGGGATCGTGCTGTGTGACGACGTGATCTAACGAACCAGCAAATGTTTTTCTTGGTTATTATATGGTTATAAAATGTCCACTATAGCGGTACTTCGCGTCTCACTCTATATATTGATCTCATACATAAGACGCTCCATACTTATCAGCACAATCTATAACATTAAGGTGATTCATTGGATCACTTTAAACAATCCACGATCTAGCAAGTAAAAAAATGAGTATCTATTTCATTTTCAAACAGATCAATTCCGCTTTTCTAGAGCGTCTGTCATCTGAATCCATTATCGTACCAAACTGCGCCAACATTTCTGCTTCAAAGTATAGCTAACATTACGACATCTTTATTTTGGATCTTATTTCGAGTTGTTTAAATACTTCGACATTTCTCTGATTAGGAATAACACCACTTTTCAACCATAAAATGAGACAACCCTACGAGTTGGTTGAATGGACAATATTTCAGGAAAAGAGTCAAATACTGTCTCAGGAGATCTTTGAACGACTGTCGCATATACAACCATCTCTTAGATGGGCCCAGGCTTTCCTATAAGAAAAAGTCACGAACAATGGAATACACCTAGGGTGTATTGGTTTGTCCATATCGTTTTCAAAAGTAAATCTTGCATCTCGCAATATGCTTATAACGTACCATTAGACATGTTTATGCTTCTCGCTTGTTTCTCTACTAATTATGGGCAAGCGTGCATTTAGCTCGCGTTGTTGTCAGGTCAAACCGATTTTTCTGTAGTTCATCACAACTCTCCTAAACGCGTATCAAGAATATAAATCACCGAACTCTTATCGATAGGCACTCTCAGAAAGCCAAATATACAGAACTCAAGATTGTTATTGTGGCAGATGAAGCGGAGCTTTTAGATCAAGTATCAGTGTACGATTTCGTACGAGCGCCAGCCTTAATGAGATATTTGATAATACATTGTAAACGGCGTTAGTAAAAATGCATTTACACATTTAACACGCACTGAAAAACCATAGAAATCCTCGTGGCATCGTTGGGGCAATTAAACGCTTTGTTCAACCTCTTGGCGTAACTTCGAAGAGGTGCCTCAATGTCCCCTACGTAATTCTTCACCCGTTAACGGTATTACGTAGCACCTATCATCGGCTATTGTGCGCAGCGATAGTCTTTCGAAGGGCGTAACGTGCTGCTGGTGCTCTCTCTGTTCTCATCTATTCATCGATATATCATCGACATTTACCTACCTCTGTCAGCAAAGGTGCTGAAGCACAAGATAGATGATGCTTTTTTAGCCTATTAATAGGTAAGATGTATGGTAATTTTGGCCATTTTGATGTCACAAGGTCACAGCAAAGTCCAGTGCATACTAGCGACGTCACCAGGAGAAGCAAAACGTTGATACGAACGAGTAAACGACTGGCCACGGCTGCCTACAGTTACCAGCAGCTTTAGAAGTTATCAGAAACTCTGCTTGTTCAAAGTCTATCTACGTATCTTATTTACGATGTTTACAGGCTCTGCGACTGTCCAACTAATATGGCCCACAAAAAAGGTCAGAGTAGATATGAGTGGACATATGTGCATATATTTATAGACTGTTCCGACCGATCTGATTGTCGATGGGGCTTTTTAACGATCTTCTAACGAAATCCAATACGCTTCTGCAATATAAAGCTCTTTCTAATGAGGACCCTTCCGACATTTACTAGCTTACAAAGTTTTTAAACGACTATTTAATGAAATTGTACACAGAATATATGTATATATCCTGTATGCAGTTGAATATACATATAATTCTGAAATGCACTAGAACGATTGATGTGGTGGTGTTCTTCCATGAAGAAAATTTGAAGATTCTAGTGTACAGCGTCTATTATTTAATTTCAACGATTTCTTTTTATTTACGCTCTTCCTTCTGAAGGCTCAACCACCTGGCTATAAAGCTAACCGCCAGTTCTTTTACCCGATCTTTCTTCGGCCGGTGAACCGAGTGAACGCCGGTAACAAATATCCCAGACTGTTCCTCGTCATTGCTGCTTTCTACAATCGTTGCGAATGGTTCTGTCCGTTATACAACGCATCCGTTCAAAAACTTTTTAGCAACTCTGTTACAAGCATCAACACGCTCCTGCAAACTTGAATGACATCCAAGGTCATCAACGCAAAACTTGAAGAATGGTAGGCCTCGGCTGCAACAGATGAGACCCTATGACATTACCGCAGCGGAACATCTTTTTCACTGGCTGGCCTCGCTGAGTTAAGCCATTATACTAATCGCCTTGCTACTAAGCTTCAAACCATTTCTTTGGTGAAAGGATTGACGATGACTAAAGCTAGATAGATAGGAAGACTTGGATCTAAATGATTCTAGAAAATCATTTTAAAGAATCTTAATGGAAGGCTGTCTTCTAGCCTTACGTACCGTATCTTCAATCAATTATCATGCGTCTATCACAATATGAATCGAATGCGTCAAGGGCTAAACAAATAAGGTTCCCTGAGTGGAAGCTAAATTGCTAAAAGCTTGGGAACTGGGGAGTAGAAAAGAACAAATGAAAGGTTGACGGTTTGTTCGGCTGAGTTAATCAGCTCAGTAACAGCAAAAAACGGCGTAAGTAAATTTAGTTCTATGCAAAAATATCCCCGATAATCAGAATAATTCTGGTCAGAATTGCTTGAGACCATATGTATATGAATCACTGGGCATATGCATGAATATAGGTAGCCGATTTGACTAGGATGCTCAATTTAAGGCTGAAAAGGTTTCTTTTTTCAAATCGAACTCTAACCTAAGACTGGGTTCAGATATATTTTGCCTATACATGTGACCACAAAATGCTTGTAATGACATTTGCTGGTATGAACTGTCAAGCTGCGCTGCTGAGCTGGTTACTTTACAAAAAAAAAAATAAACACGAAGAACAACCAATAATAATAATTAAACTGCTGTTTTGACTTATGCAACAAGTTTACGCACGATCGAACATTTTTGAAGTATCGGTGCCCTCAATGGGTGCCATCTATTTTTACTTGAATGGAATTTTACCGCTACAAGTTCTCGTAATTTCTATCCACATTTACACATTTACTGGTCATCTGAGCAGTTCCACAAGCGACTACAGCACCTCTTCGAAATTCCCCAGAAACTGAACAACTACCCTCTTGCTGTCCAATACGTATATAAAGAGAATACTTACATCAACGTTACTATACTTAATGTTGTATTATGCCTATGACTTGACTTACTTTCGCACATTTGCTAATTTGTATCAAAATTATAGCATTAATATATAATTATAGCATTAACTAATAATAGCACTGACTAAACATTATTTGATGATTAAAGAAGACTTTCGTGTCACTAATTATCGGTAGATCTTCTCGCTTGTACGTCGACAGTTTGTAATCAAAGCATCTCCGATGGCCACGTTTCGCTGCTGTGAAAAGGTTCGAGAAATCTCGTTATGCTTGCATTTCTTCGTAAGCGTATATCAAAACATGGATACGGATGTTATTTTTACTTTTATGTCGGATTACGGTAAACCAAACATTTAAATTCTCAATAAGTATGGGATTTCGAAAGCGAACATTTACTCTAACTACGGTCATTTTGTCACTGATTACACAATGTCCATAGCACGTGTTGAATATAAGAGAAGTACCATCATACAAACAGTACGACCCCCTACTATACTGGATTTCTATGGCATAGAACATTATCCTTGAAAAGAGCGAATAGATACAGCGGGTTTAGTTTGAAGGGTTACGTCGGCCAAGGGTGCAAGTTTAGTGAAGGTCCCAGGCCTGAAAGCCTACTCTTTTACGACGAAGTTAATCTGTCCGTCATACTTGCGCTTCAGCTAATTCCAACTAACAACATTTCAGTTACTGTCACGTTGACGCATATATAACGCTTAATTTGACCGTTTATGCACCTCAAAAGTCATCTGTGCCTATTCTCTTTGCCTGATCTCCTTGTGCGTGGCATCAAAAACCTATCAAATAGTGTTCGGCTTGCACAAGGAGACAGCGCTGCAATATACTCAAGGTACTTCTATCTGCGTACAGAGTCATACCTGGACCTTTTTTTGTACGTTGTCTTCTGTGAAACTTCACGAGCTGCTTACTGAGAAGCCTGTTCGTCCCAAAACATGAACGATGGTCTAACCATCT